GATCTGACCAGGATAGCGGTCTTTTCGGCTATCAATTAGAAGAGATAGACCTCAAACTTCCTGATGTGAAGAGTACTTGTCAAACATTTGGGCGTGAATGTAGGAATGTTTATTTTATTAGTTAGTGTTTCTTCAAGTTTTAAGATGTAGCTTTGGTGGCCTATTAACCGTTTAGATTCTGTGAAGGTGCATGAGTGAGGGGAAATGAAACAATTGCTGGAGCTGATTTATTCCAAAAAGCCCATTGAACCCTCAGTAAATTCCTACCAATAAAGAATCAAACAAAGAAACGCCAAACGGTACATGTCATCGTTCATTGAATAGAACTAACCCAACTGTATTGCCTTATTTAGTTGGAGAGGCACTAATTCTAATATGCTTATTATGCTGTTTATTTCTTTTCACTGTAATGATAATTTTTGTTTGATAGGTAATTTAATAAGTAATTTTATCTTTGTTTTTTTTTGACTACCTATTCACTGGTAGCCTAAGAGACTGTTCTAGTTACACCCGGATGGGTAGGGGAGCTCACGGGTTCAACCTGCGAGAATTTGCTAACATCAGTCCTAGCAAGAGCAGTGTTTCGCAGAATCTACCACTGGATCAGAGTTGCGACCCACTGAGAAGATCCGGCGAGAAACTCAGTGGGCTGGGTTAGTTCGCTCGCGGAACCCTTCGTCGTAATCGACGAGTTTGACCTAAAAGCATCGAAAATTAATCCGAGTGATCCGACAAGACATATTTTAGGCGACGGCAACTTTGCGATGCCCCGTGGTACTAGACGAGAGATCATAGTCCACCTGGTGTTAAGTGGTTATCACAGCCCATATAGGTACTTCAAAACGTAAATCCCAAGATATTGTACTCTAGTAAGCAAACAAAAAAGGCAGCAAATACAAACAGTAAGTGCGCGATGAAGGCCCGGAAAAAGCAGGACGCGTCATCGAAAAAAAATTTGAATTCCATTTTCGTGCTACCTACTCTGGTAGGTGTTTAAAATAAATTCGCACCAGTTCGTTATTGGAGCTCCAGGAGCGGACGTGCGAAACAGGACACGTAGGTATTTACTAACGTCACGTCGATCGGTTAACATAAAACAAAGTGTCAGATTCGCTGGCGGGAATCACTGGCGCGGCGGCTTTGTTCTCTGATAACTAGTACTGTAGATTATGAGAATTTTGTCTTTATAATAATTATAGATCGCATAGTTACTACTTGGAGCCTTTATGATTATTTTTATTACGCTTTTATTTGCGTGATCTGTCTACGTATATGTAATATAAATTTTCAGTAACTTACAGATATTTGTTTAACTCTAAAATTGACGTAACAAGAACTGATGACAATGCAATCGTTTTGGATCTTTGGCTTGATCACCACTACTATGATTGCCCGGAGAAAAATGGTTCAGTTTTCTATTATATTTAAGCGTATTCATTTTTAACCTAAGTATTATTATTATTTTTTTGTATCGCAGTAGAATGTTGTTGGCGACTTTCGGATGATATGTGGCTGTCGTAGATATAACGAGAAGAATTTCGGGGTGAAGTATCGTAGGGCGATTTGAACGTCAGAACATCTACAATAGAGACGGGCCTCCTGTCTCCGGGTGGGTGGCGGTATTGACGTCATGATGTCCATAGGCTCGTCGTCTAAGTGCGCCGAGAACTCCTTCAATTTTTGTTAGTCATTAATTACAATTACAATGAAATTTACGGTTAAATCTCGCATTTTTAATTTCCATTATTTACCTAATTTCCTTTATCGTATCAGTCTTGTCAGAGTGCTTAACCAAGGCAGGCTGGAGCTTTGCGAGCTTCTCAGTGATTGTGTCCAGTTCCTCGCATTACACATTCGCAGTAACATTAGCGCCATTTGGTATTAAGCTAGGTTGAATTATAGCAGGACTAGACTACCAAGCAGTGACTATGACTTCTTAAGGAGCAGGTTTGGTGTATGGCATATCGCTTACGATTATCAAAACTAATCGTATTTTTCATTGCAAGTAACGATGCGGTTCGAAATTCTGTTAAGGAACACAAGCCATACGCGTTCGTCACACTGGCGATCGTTCAGTTCATGCGGCACCTACTTATCAAGTTTTTGTACCATGCCAATTTGACGTAAATGGACCAATATTGATGCTAACATTGAAAGTTGCGGCTAAATGATCGCTAGATTGATTATCGTCAGCCTCGACTATTGGCTTTAATTCGTCGTTGATGACTTTAAATAAAAATTTCCATGTCGGAAGCCTTCAAACCCCTTTTTCCCCTACATATGCGCTGGTAGCCTAAGAGGCTATTCCAGATATGCGCGGACGGGTAGGTCACGGGCTCAACCTGAGAAAATAATTCTTTAATACTAGCTCTAGCAAGAGCAATGCTTCGCAAAATGAAAAAATGTAACGTGTTTCGGTTTGAAGGGTGGGGCAGCCGTTGTACCTATACTTGAGACCTTAGAACTTATATCTCAAGGTGGGTGGCGCATTTACATTGTGGATGTCTATGGGCTCCAGTAACCTCTTAACACCAGATGGGCTGTGAGCTCCTCCACCCAACTAAACAATTAAAAAAAAAACTAGCTCTAGCAACAGCAGTACTTCGCAAAATTTATCACCGGATCGGAATCGCGACCTACTAACAAGATCCGGTATGAATTTCAGTTCACTAGAAACTCAGTGGGTTCCTTCAAACCATTAACGACTCGTGCGTTCGTCTGTAGTGTTCACTTCGTACTTGTCATTAATGTGATCCTGAAAACCTCACTGATTTATACTATTTTTCATTGTTGTAGTGCGTTGATTGAGCTCACGGTAAAATCGTTGATAAACTTTTATTGGACATTATAACACAAGTGCCTTCTCAGAGTGCCTGTTTGACATTTATGTACAAACTCTTTCACAGCACGGCTCAATCAGCAAATAATGCTAACGATCCATCAAACCTTTAGAAATGGAACTATTTAAAAATAAATTAATTCATTTAAAATAACTTACCGACAAGTTTTCTTGTTTTATACATAAAAAGAGTGACAATTGCAAAATGCGTCGCATAAAACTCCTATGTCCAAAGTATGTGATAACGTCAGCAGTATGCAACACGTGTAGCGTGTTCATATAACCTACTTCTGTTTATAGAGAACACGTGCCAAAATAAACATTAATGCAAAAGTAAAAATCTAATTTGTGTGGTCATTATCACGGTTATGTAAACAAGGGTATGCTGCGGATTTGCTCGGCTTAACTCGGGAATTAACTGGTCTAAATTTAATGATTTTTTTGGAAAACTAAATGTAATGAATACGAAAAACAATTATTTGTATTCGGCTAAAAGGTGTTGTTGCTGGGCGATACAATATTAAAAAAAAAAAAACGTGTACATATTACTAATAACTAAAGGTCACCGCTTAACGACAGGTGGGCCGTGAGCATGTTTAGATATATGCAGCAAATTAGACATAGCTTTAGCTGTGAACAATTTTAGCTAATTTTTTCGCAATCTCACGTTTTTTTAATTTCCAGAAAATTTACACGTGTAAGTTTCTTTAAGTAGGTACGTAACGTGAAAATTATTTATAATTAAATAAATACAACAACAAATAGTATTAAGCTATACGATCCCAACATACCCAGCCCTCATTATAAACAGATAAACAAATTAAATAATAAAGCAAATCACCCGTACAAAAGGGGCAGGGAATATGGTAACTAACACCAGTGGTCTTTATTTTCCAAGACAATAACTTTATTTTTATATTCCTATTCTATTCAAGTAATGAATAGGAAGAACAGTTAAGCAATACCATTTTTTATTTGTCAATAATAAAACAAAAAAGAATGTGTTGCAATTTTTATGTGTCAGTGAATATTGTCGAATTCCGAACATTAGATAATATACTAATATTACTAGACTATGGCGCTTCTAAATGTTTTATTGCATTGTTTCACTTTTTCATTCTACCCTACCATCAGTATTGAGTACTGATATTAAAATGTAGATGTTGGATATGGTTTAAACACGATGTGATTATTTTACTTATTTATTTATACTTTATTTCAGTTTATTTTAAAAACCATAACAATTTGTTAGTAATGAATGAATAAAATAGGGTGGGTTTTTTATCGCGCTATAAATGAAAGTTAGTATTCTTATGTGACCAAATTATACAATATAACCTTATATTATACAATATAATTTGGTCTCATAAATGAAATGTGAAATTGATGTGAAATGAATGTGAAATTACACTCCTACCTTTTCCGGATAATGTTTATGTATTTCATGGAATATCATTATTAAAACGTTGAAAAAATTCTCAGTATTAAATAAAATGATGAATAAATAGGTGTAAGTTATTTTACAGGCTGGAGTACGATTGTTGATCTGATTATATGAGGTAGGTACCTACCTACCTGTAGTAGATTCAATATATAAATACACATACTTTTTAACAGTGATTTGTTTTAAACAGTGAAACCTTAAAGCTATTTTTAGTACGCTTTATCTCATAAATTTCCCAGAAAAAAATTTATTTTGTATATATTATACTTTTTAAAAAGAAATAACTAATTTGAAAAGTTCTAGCTAAATTAAACCCAAAACTTTTTTTAGAAATATTGAATTACTTGCACGTTTTTTTTTAATTAATATTTAGCAAGGGATAATAGTTTATAATTTTTTGACAACATCATATCGTTTTAAAATTATTTGTTTCGAAATAACCAAAATCAAAAGTAAAGTAATTGAGAAAACGAAAATAGCCCCTAACTGTGTTTAAGGTGCTGTCTAATAAAAAAAATAAAAAATAATGTGCATCTCGGATGCTAATTTATTTTATCATTAAAATCACTAGTACGCACCTAATTACTCTATGACAGGTACGTTGTAGTATAATAAAACGTTCAAAGAGAGGCCCCCCTCCCCCTGACCTCGCGCTTATGCGCCTCGCAGTGATGTCAACGGACCGCTACCGATTTTAGTAAGACTTGAACTGCAGGGGAGACTACACGCGTCTATTTTACAGACTTTAAATCCAATAATACTTTTAAAATGCCGTCTTGTGTTATGAGATACTGTAGGAGCCATTCAAGAAAATCGAACAGAGGTAGTGGAGTATCATTTCATCGGTAAGTTAATGAAATATTTACTAAAACAAATAACAATACAAACGTTATGAAAACAGAGCGCGGCGCGGCGGCGACTGGCCGTCCTCGCTTGCTCACTAACCATAGACTAACCATATACGTAATAATTCAGATGTGTCAAACGGAATTCACTTTATTATATTTCAATGTTTTTAATCCGTATAGTTAGTACTTCCGGGAAGCTCATTTCGATTAATGACTATATTATAGGCAACGTTACAACTGTACATTATTAAAAAAATAATTGAAACATTACTACTACTCACGTGCTATTTATCAAGTAGTCATATTCGGTTTATCTATTGTACGTGTCGTTTACCTGTTTCAAGTTGAATGAAAACTGAGTTGTGGACAAGAAATATATAAAATTATTTTACCCATACGCCTAGGCGCCTTAAGTTTTTTTTAAACATGCTAATCTAAGAGGAGCGAGATATTTGATGGTATTGAATCGTAATTATGATTATAGTAAAAAATGGTTTTTAAATACATTTCATCTTTGTTTGGTTATGCTTTGTTATGTTCCAAATTAACTTATTGAATATTCTACTGCATGGATTGCAATGTTTCTTCCTGTAATACCTAGTTCATTTACGTTTTGATTCATATGAATTAGTGTCTTTAGGTAAAGTTATCAAGTTAGTAACTTATTATCGACACAAAATTCATAACTTTAGAACAACATAGTATAATTGAAACAGTAATCTGGGATGTCTATGACACAGTTTTTAATCGTGATAAACAGTTATGTTAATTATTATGAATGAATACATTTACATCAGTAAATTAGTAGTAGGAACATTAAATTATTTACCTTACAATTAAAATCAATTATTATTTTCATTTATTATGCGCAATTTTATAATAATTAATTTATTGGAACTCATTAGGTAGGTACATAAACTTTTGTTACATTTTGAAGGTTCCTCAAACCGGATCAGAAGAATAGAGATTTATGGATACAATTCGTTCGAAATGACAGAAGAGAAGAGACGTGGTATCCATCGGATCATTCCTGTGTTTGCTCGTTACATTTCAAAGAAGAAGACAAATACGTATCGGATAATGGAAGGATATTTTTAAAACCCAATGCTGTACCAAGCTTAAACGTAAGAAAACATTCATCACATTTTAATTTTATTTAATTTAAAATGACTTGTAGTGTGCCTTAGGAATTACCTTTTTTTATTGCTTATATGGGTGGACGAGCTCACAGCCCACCTGGTGTTAAGTGGTTACTGGAGCCCATAGACATTCAGAACGTAAATGCGCCACCCACCTTGAGATATAAGTTCTAAGGTCTCAAGTATAGTTACAACGGCTGCCCCACCCTTCAAACCGAAACGCATTACTGCTTCACGGCAGAAATACGCAGGGTGGTGGTACCTACCCGTGCGGACTCACAAGAGGTCCTACCACCAGTAAAAATACTTTATACTTTATCACGTCATATTGCTCCATTATAGTCCTCCTATACTTCACTAAGTTAGAAGCTACGGCTTATCTGATGCTGACTAGTGATTACCGAAGTCCAGGCTTAAAAGCGGGGATGACGCTCCGCAACATGAGACATAAGATTTAATTTCCGAATATTGGTATACCATGCTTCAAATCGGACGCGTGAGTGCTTTGCTGCATGAACAGTTAGTGGGTACCCATCGATTTAGGTCAATAAAATGTCTTACCACCACTATCTAAGGTAGAAACAAGGACATTTCGAACTACAGAATTAGATAGGAAATTAATTGAGTACTAGGGAAGTAGTAGTAGTAATAGAAGCTCGGCTAGCTATCACTAGTTTAGTTCTGATTACTTATGAGACAGTCCACAAATAAATAATTTCAAAAAAATTCCAGTCCAATCCAGTGAAGCCAGAATTTGTCAATCGCGATCCTGTTACAATACCAAATGCAGATCCAAACGTTATACACGTTCCTGAGTCAATAACGGATCCATTAGCCGAGTCCTTGGAGCCATTAGTCGAACCAGAAGTTAGTAATGCAGTCACCTCCGCGGAATTCTATTTGAGAAAACGTTTGTTCACCGAAATGAAAGCAAAGAAACATCTTTCGAACAGCCTGAAGCAAGTTCGACGCCAAAACAGATACTTGACCGAAAAATGTAAAACATACCAGCAGATGATAGAGACTTTGAAACAAGAGATCGAAATGAAATACGCTAATATGACGGTCAAACCAGAACCCGCCGACGACTAACGCAGACGTATGACGAAAAATCGATACGTTTTCAATTCGATGTCTCAATTCGATAAGAGGAAAACAAAGAACGTAGGTAATCGAAAACAACGCGTATCGAATGGGTACTATTTACGTAATAAATCGCATCATTTGTCGCCGCACTAATGTTGGCTGTTTATTGAACAAATTGCCCGGGGCCAGATCAGCGCTGACGTTTAAATCATTCTTAATGGAGCACGTTTCCAAAAGCAACGCGTAGAGATCTGTACCACAGACTTGAGAATGTCGAGTAATTCTCAGAAATAAAAAATTGACATTTTTATAAGGATGCACTATTAAAAACTCAAATAAATTTGATCTAATTTTGGAAATATTGTTTTACTATAATAAGTTAAATATTTGCTCCATAGTATTCATATATAAATATGGCAGTGTGGATGTTGCCATCATAGAATACGAGATATTTGGCAGATGCCTGAACCTCGCTCACGATATCTTCGAGATAAGCTTGCACAAATTACATGTCTACCGAGCAATTTCGCCAGCCCGGTGGAAGACCTTCCATTTGTTGAAATAAAAAATATAAGTAAGTAGGATGTTCTATGATAGACATCCGCTACAAGAGTACGACTGTCTTAAATAATCCTATTATATTATTGTTGTTCCGCTTTTACCATTATGTTATTCAATTCTAAATTCTAACCTAAGGTGGCTCACGATTTTGAGGAAGAAAATTGTTATTAAGAGCACAAAGCCGATAAAATATAATTACAGTGTGACACTTTCAGGCAAAGAGATGTGGACAACACTATCGTACGTTTTAGTAAGGTTTGTTCTGAATTTATAATAGCTATGTATAAGCACAATATCTCAATTCTTTATGATAACATGCGCTTACAAACGTCATAATAATATAACGGGTGTAAATATAAAAGATAACTATCGTACGTATTAAGTGGTATGGCCTCTCGACTTTAGATATTGTTATAATTAAATTGTATAGGGCTTTAAGATAGGGATTCGAAGGGCCTTTACCGCGGATACATATCGAAAATACAAAATACAAAAATGTGAGATTTGTTGTCTTTCACAACACTCTTATTAGCTATACATTTTCAGCCCAAAACGATACCATCTCATCTCTTTCAATGGATGTCGTAAACGACTAATGGATTCAAAGTATAATAGGCAGCTTCGATATGGAGATTGCTAACCCGTAGGTATTTACTGCTAGTAGGGCATCTACTGCCTTTTTTGTCGTGACGCAATCATACCTTCCGGTTTGGAGGGTGGGAGAACCGTTAGACAATTCAAATTGAGATTCGACCTCATGCCCGTTCTTTTTTAACTAGTTGGGCCGTGCGTTCGTTCAGACCTTTAAGACCGCTTCAAAAGCCGTTACAATTAGGACAATATTGGAAGCGCTCGTAAAACACTATGGTGGAATTTTCATTTCGGACTTGGATAGTACATGGGTCCTCGTCGATCTCGTCGATTACGATGAAGAGTTCGACGAGCGAACTAACCCATAGACACAGCCCAGTGAGTTTCTCGCCGGATCTTCTCATTGGGTCGCGATTCCTATCCCGTGGTAGATTCTGCAAAACACTGCTCTTGCTAGGGCTAGTGCTAGCAAATTCTTTCAGGTTGAGCCCGCGAGCTTATCTATCCGTCTGGGCGTAGCTGGAATACCCCTTAGGCAACCAGCTAATAAATAGGTAGGGTAAAAAACACGGCTAAAGTTATCCCTGGCAAACCCACTACGCACGAACACTGTAACACGGATGGAACACTGAAGGAATTTCTCGATAATTGAATTACTTAAACCCATAAATCTACGGGAGGTTTTATTTAATAAACGATATGGTGAATATTACGGGCAATGATCGTAAACATGGATATCACGTATGACCGCTACCTCATCCGGGCCAATACTGAAGAAAGTTTTATTGATATCAATGAACTTTCCTTGTTAACGACCGTGCACAATGTAATTTCAGAAGTATAAAACGGGAGTCCAATGTGAGGGGTAATTCGTAAACTCGACCGCAATCGTGCACATTTTGAACGAAGGCGACTAATTAAAATAAAAAGTACTTTTACGGTTTAATATCGCGTTTATTATTGTCGTTCGTTATTACAGACGTTCGACTTTACAGCTTTCGTGATCATCACGGATGACTGCTATAAAAAAACGTAAATATTTACGGTTTTAATTGAATATGCAATTTTTAAAAGGGCACATGTCGCATATTTTGTCAAATACGTTTTTTCATATAGTAGTCGTAGTTTTGAGGCTTACCTACTCCCATTTTATAATAATTCCAGTAATTTTCAATTGCTAATTAACACTAAAATAGATCTCAAAAGTTAATATTTAAAATTTTACACTGCTTTACAAAATAATCAGTTTTTTTCATTTCCTGAACATTTTACATTTTCAGAGATGTGCCCTTTTCGAAATTGCATATTCAATTATATTTTCGTCTCGCAAAAGCCGAAAAGAGAATACGACTAGTTATCAAGTAATATTCAGTAAACCTACGAATTGAGAGCTTGTTTATAGTCAAACGAGAATGCTACAAACTGCCAGCTAGAAATTTGGAGCGAACCAGCGAACCCGATTAACGATTTTTTTTTTTAAATCCCTTGATTCTTTTCAGGATATTAGTGAGTCCCTGATGCGTGTGCAAAATTATGAAGTAAATCGGAAGTTTTGAAGTCTGAAAATGACGTTCTAAGATTCCATTAGATACATACCAATATAATAAAGGTGTGTTGAAAACAATTCTCCTCCGATTCGCATTAATGCTTGGCAGCCCAAACGGTCAAGATGTCAGGCTAGCTCTCAATGCTCTACCACACGTAACCACGTAATTAATCTTTTGGTCTATTTTGTAAAATGAGGTGAATGATTTCAATGTACGTTCAAATTATCATAAAGTCCGTGAAGTCGTCATCGGTTTTTTGGTCGATAACAATTGCGACAGTTTCGTAATAGCCCCCCCAGGTCTCTTGTATAAATTTATAACGCCCTAAACGCATTATTACCAGTTTAACGATCATATAACAATGTGGTTTACGATTCATTTGTTTCAATGCATCGGCTGTCGACCGTGATTGCAGGATGGGGACTTACAACGCTGAAAGTTGCGGTCAATTCAATTTTTATTTTTTTATTGCTTAGATGGTTGGACGAGCTCACAGCCCACCTGATATTAAGTGGTTACTGGAGCCCATAGACATCTACAACGTAAATGCGCCACCCACCTTGAGATATAAGTTCTAAGGTCCCAGTATAGTTACAACGGCTGCCCCACCCTTCAAACCGAAACGCATTACTGCTTCACGGCAGAAATAGGCAGGGCGGTGGTACCTACCCGCGCGGACTCACAAGTGGTCCTACCACCAGTATAAAATTTGCCGGGAATCGCAATTAATTTTATTGTATCTCGAGATACTGGAATTAACGTCAATCATTACTGACATGCTGGGATAATTCGGCATATTAATTGATAAATAAGCAACTCGATTGCTTTAAGAATGTTAAGATGCCACTAAAATAATATTATTTGATCGGTAAGCGGTGGTTTACTTAGTTTTGGAGCCTCACATTTGCTATTCGACTTGTGATAATAAATCTAGGCTATTCCATTAGCTAAGGATACGCATTATTTCATACATTTTCTAGTGGAAAATGCTAATTCAATTTTTTTCTTGCAACTAATCCGAATTAATGTGACATGGGGTCAGACTAGCTACGAAGCAATGAAATAAGCACATAATAGGCTAAAATTACAGTGGGAGATGATTACTGCGTAATAATGAAATGATTGAAAACAAAAAATAAATAAAATATAACCAAAGATGGACTAGTAAATATATGCGTAAAATAATAACAGATGTCTGATTTGTAAATAAATAACTGAATGTCAATGTTTAATATTTTCATAGAAATACCCGTAGGTTACTGACCTCGTCGAAACCTACAGCAATCGATTATTTTCGATTCGATTCGATTATCGAAATCGAGAATATGATCTTGTGTCTAAACTACCGATTATATTTGAATATATTTTCATTAGCGGCCTTGAAACATTACTACTCTATATGAGTCGTCTATTATCAAAGGTGGCAATCTGTGCATTTGGACAAAAAAATGTTATTGATATGTCAATACAGATTGATTTGAATATAATCGTCTCCTTCAAAGAATACGGTTCAAAACCTGCATTAAATAAAGGTTAATACTTAACCTGTTATTTATCTAAGATGTCGTTCAGAAGAGTTTTGTGACTGCCAANTGAATATAATCGTCTCCTTCAAAGAATACGGTTCAAAACCTGCATTAAATAAAGGTTAATACTTAACCTGTTATTTATCTAAGATGTCGTTCAGAAGAGTTTTGTGACTGCCAATGGAATACAAAGTCAATAATTCGTTTTTCTGATTTACCAATAATTGTCCAAAAGTCACATTGCCGGCTTTGATAATAGTCGACTCATATACGAGGTTCGACTTATGGCGGCAGTGTCGTTCTTAGTTCGTGCTTGTTCCATAGATTCCTGGGACCACATGGATGGCGATCATTCATTCTGGAGCAATATAAAACAGGTTGAATATCAGATCCGTTTACATAGCATCAAGTGTGGCCTTAAATATGCCAGAAAAACATTATTAAACCATTTCGACAAATGAACATTACTTTTTATGATAGAAAATACAAAAAAATGACAGTTAAATACGAACCCTCGAAAAGGCGTTGTATTCCGTGTGCGTAAGATTCATTTGGTAGTGTTGCAGAATGAGATTAGTCCGATATTAACTCGTAACTTGAGTGTGATAAAAATAAATATTTCACTATTATACAGCTCGTTTGTCGAGTAGCCGGCAATAAAATACACGTAAGTGGTTAACAAGTAGTCGGCACAAGCGATTTTATTCATTTATTAGTGACATGTAAATTTCTTTGTGGCTGTAAAGTTTACAATGTCAAATTAGAACTCTTCATAAAATTATGTCGCGTTTGATAAACTAATTTTTGCGAAGTAGTTCAAAATAGCGGGTCTGAAATGGAGTGTGTTTGAGGGGACCTACACTTAGCATTGTGTGGACATGGGTTGAAGAAGAAGAAAAAGAAGTTGAGAAAGAACAACCGATGTACGAGATGGCCCACAGACGTCCGCGACGTGCCTATATTACTATAATCATTGGCGTCCTGGAACTTGCATAGCTTCTTTCTTTTTGGCAAGGGCCGATTTCGAAAGCCGTATTTAGTACATGTCCACCACTCGAAGACCCATTCCCGAATTACTCGCCGACGGAATTATTGAAACTATTATAGAGGTTCTTTATTTATTT